ATAAACCAGTGTATTGATAACTTTTATGCGGTAATAACGATTCATTTAAACAATTCCTTTTCATGTGGTTAAACTATAAGGCGTGTGTCGGTCTCACTAATAACATCACTTATAATGTTGCAAGCATTCCAAGTCTAATATTCCCTCGTTTCATATTAAGCATTATTGTAAAAAAAATTTGTTACAGAATAAATGTTTTTTTAACTTTCAATAAAAATTTATTAATTGTATATTATAATTTATCTTTTTATTAGTTGAAATATAGTTAAATAATTATGTTTTATATAAAAAATGTAACATTAATTGTATTTTTAATTTATGTGTACAAAGCTAAATTGATATTTGATATTTAATATAAAACAGAAGGAGTAACATATATATAAATTCATTTGGTACAAAAAGCTAATCGTCTCTAAACGTAGGCAAACTATATATACTTTTATAATCTTATAGGTTAATCATTATGTGATAATCAAATACACAAAGTCTAATAATTAATGTTAAAGTAACAAACGTTACTTTCTCTTTAAGATTATTCAATTAAGTATAATGTGTAAGCTTAGTCTCAAGAATATAATCAATCATGGCAGATCGAGAAAAGCAGAACAAAAAGTTTCTCCATTATTTTCTCTCTTCGTATTGTTATCATCAATCCTTTTTCCTCCCTTTTGGAGTAAATAAATGTTTTTGTTTGTTTGTCAATAAAATGTTTTACAATTCATATATATTATGATGCAAAAATGAGGTATTGATATCATGAGGTGACGAAAACTTAATTTGATATAATTTTATATGCAGTGCCCTTACTAATTGTTCACATGTTGATGAAGATTATCCTCGCGCTTTCTTAAATTACCGATATTAATATATAAGCATCAAAACACTATTTTTTTACTTCAAACGATTAATTTATTATTCAAACGGTTCTTTTAATATCAAATATATATTTTCTTAATAATAAACTGCTGTTCTGTTATTAAAATTATATTTATGTTATTTTTTTGCAATTTAAAATATGAATATTATATCATCAACGAATAATCAGAGTGGTATACGCTTAAGTCTAGATGTTATAAGTTGGTTTATCATCACAAATGATTATTTTTTCTAGTTTAAATGGAAATAATCTAACTTTCACCAGATGTTATATACTCGCTGCAAATCGACATAATTATAATTATATCTTAACTGGTAGTAATAACTTTCTAACCGGAACAAGTCTTAGCTCTACAATATTGAAAGTTAGCAGGGGCATTTGAAAAAGTAATAAATATTGATACGCATGTATACGCACCAATTATTGTATACTATATGTTAGATATTTTAAACATTGCATAAAACTAATCTAATTTTGCAAATATGGTTTTTGAAAGATTAATTCAAGATCGGTACCTAACTACTTTTTTTATATAAATAGTGATTTGAATGAGAAGTGAGCCCAAACATTAGAGGTCGGGAGAATGTTTATAAAGAGGTGTCCCGTATGGTTGTCCATATCACTTCTATGATCTTTTGTTGTCAATTTTATATTGTTGGTTTTATTGATAAGATGAATGCTTAAAAGATATTTTTAAAGCACTAGTGGAAAAATAAGTAAATTATTATGTCAACTCCTTAGGATATGGTATTACATATTTTCCTTTGACTTGTAAGTTGTAACTTGTCATGCTTTGATTTTGTAAAGACCACATTAAGTTTTCATTTTTCCACAAGTATCCATTTACGAAAGTTTTACCCGAATTTCCTGAGAAGTAACTCAACCTAATTAGTTTACGGGTCATTGCAACTAAAATATTGTATTAATAATGAGTCGTATTTCAAATGTATTGATAACTGATTTAACTTTACATGAGTAATCAGGGAGATACAGCCACATCAAATTGTTATATAAGAATTATTTGATAGTCTCGTCTAACTAAATAAAACTTCTCTTTTATTTTATTTAAAATTAAACTTCTCTTTTATTTTATCACGGAAAACAACATTTAAAGACATTTTTTTCATCAAAAATAAAACATTTATAGAAATTTTAAAAATAAAAGGATAAAATCAATAAAAAGTTAAATACATGAATGCTATGTCAAATGAAATTTGTATAAAAATACTCATGGACAGCATATATCTCGTCTACTACATATTTAATTAAACATCTGAACTAAGTGTATTGTGATTTCATCCGTATGATCATTCTCAGTCACAATCAAATAATATATTCTTTAGGAGGGGGTGAACATGCTTTTGTACATATGTCAACCCCAATTAATACTAATTAAAAACAGAAATCGTTAATGACCTCTAGAAAGAAGGATTATGATTTAGTCTACATCTCTGTGGGGCTAGGACGGGTGGGAAAGTTGGTGACGATGAATACATTAGGTTTACTGATAAACTATCAGCTCGATTATTAATCTTTCCACTTAAGTAGTTATTTTTAGGAGAATACTAATTAAGTAAATATGTGTTCCAGAAAAAAAACTAATTAAGTAAATATGATGTAACTTAATTAAACGAATACAAGTATATGTGTAAGTTCATACTTCTGAACAGACTTGGGCTTAACTAAAAATCTTATCAATTAATTTATAGTCACTAGGATAGTATCACAGTTATGATAGATTAGCTTTTATTACTATATAACGTTTCAACATTCTTAAAACTATTACAGACAAAAGTGAAATTAGGAAACTTTGAAAAATGGCCATGCCAAGCCGATGACAGGATGAATTAGAGTTTTGTTTAGACTTTGTTAAGTTTTCCGTTAAACCAAAGAACACTAATCTTGAAAATTCGAAGGAAAAGCATCTTTTTTTTATATATTTACAAACAAATCAGAACTAATATTGAATTATCCAAGTAGAAGTCATCAATCTAGAAATATACTCTACCACTAGCTGACCTAAATATAACTTTTCACATAATATTCAATTTTAAATACGTTATAAATATATTATGTATTTATAACATAATAATCAATTAATCATAACATTTGCGTGGGGTAAGATATGCTACTAGAATAAGCAAGTACGGCGGAGATATGATTGAAAGAAAGAAAAAACAAAATATAATAATAATAATGAAGCAATCGACGAATTAAGTGCGTGAGATTATGATTAATTTACAAATATATTTAATATCATAAGGTAGTTGAAAAAAATTAAGAAATTAATATTATATTAGAAAAGGAGTTTTGTCACGTTGTGACTTTTATAAGACATATTAAGACAGACAACAATCCCATTTGATCTGTCCAAGTGGAAGTCTTAGCTGTTTCTATTTCCTTCAACTCATTTTCTTTCTCTGCTTGCGTCTTAGTGCTTATGGGCGGCTTATATTTACTTATTTGACTATGTAGTATGTACATATATTATTTGTATACTTTTTTTAAACACTATTGTATATAATTTTAAATGCATCATAATAAATAAACTATTCTCTGGTACATTCACTTACTACGATTTTTTTCCAGTAGCGATGAACTTAATGGAAAAAATCAATTTGATGAATATTCATAAGAAAACTAACAAATGAAGAATATAGTTGAAGTCAATGTGATGTAACAATTAATAACGCTTCTGGACAGTTTTCTCATTTCATTCGTTTGCGCATCATTAAGAGGTGATTGGATCATTTATATTGTAACACTTATCTTACAAAAATCAATTTTATAGAAACGCGAGGTGTCATATAGAACTTGACCAAAATGAAAAAGATACTATTAAATATATAATGTAGTATAGGAGTTCGAAAACGCGTGACAACAGAAGTATTGTATTGTGAACTCGAAAGTGGATTCCAATAAAAGAAATGGGGAAACGAAATGATAACATGAAGTTAAAACAACTTTGTATATATACAAACACAAATACGATAATTCTTTAGATGAGAAAGTATAGTAAATATATAACAACACAAATCACAAGTCTACCGGATTCTTGGATAGAGAAATAACTGAGACATTTGGGATAGACGAATGAAAAAAACTTTTGGTTGTTTGTAAAAGAAACAGAGAATATGATATGGGAAACAATAGTAGATCTGAGATAGTATAGGGTAAAACTAATAAAAAAAATATTACCTTCAAGACTAACATCTAAAAGAGATAAGTTATATTGCGAGGAGACTACGTACACATAATTAAATGTTCAGTTCCGTTGAGATACAACATATAAACATATTATACTTTATTTTAAGGATAACTAAGCTATAACATAGTTAAGGCTGTCAAATCAATAATATAACACTTC